AAAGTTCGAAAAGTATAAAAGCTTGCGCTTTACAGTTAACGAGCATTCTAGATGCCCTATCATTATCTTGTCTATTTTTCGTTTAGCGTATGTTAAGTTTTTCTGCAACAGCACGTGGTGTAATTTCTTCCTCTCCAAGCATATAAATACTCATATTTCGTTTTGTAATAGCATTAATATCAGGCCTCAAATTTTCCAATTCTTTCAGCTGCTGTTTTTCAAACAAGATTTGTTTGTGCACATATTCTTTGATGGCTTTGATGAAATCTTGAGCACGATTATTTTCATAATTTTGCAATTCTGAGTGAAGGTTTTTTGTTACACGTTTGACACGTGCATCGAGGTTTTGTTCGTAATTTTCGGCCTTTTTGTTTCAATAAAAATCATTTTCAACATTAATTTAGAGAATGTAAAGCAATACAAAAAAAAAATTTAACAAATAATAAAAACAATAATAATAGTACATATTTAAATTCTTTCAACGCTTCATCAACTTTATCAGACTTTATTGATGTAGAAGATTTTAAACGTTCCATGTACCGTTTTTTACTTATGGTGGCTTTCATTGCATTCTCATGTTCTGTAATTATTCTAAGACGATTTGCCAAAGTTTCCTAATAAATGCAAAAAAGTTCTTTAAAATGGTATATAACTATAGTATAAATTAATAATAATAATATATACCTTAACTATATGTGCATTAACTGCATAATAACTAAAAAAATCACCGATAGCTGCAGCTTCACTAATAGCTTGTGATCTTTGTAATTCACCAATAATTTGAAGTGTCTTACCAAGTCTACGAAGACCACTGTTGAAAAAAATAAAAAATTAAAAATTAAATATTGACTATAATACAACCCTTATGATAAATTACAATAAATTACTTTGACAATGGCGGATGTTTTTCAACAGTACCCAAAGCTTGGGACTTGATACCACATTCTGTGCTACATATGGCCAAACCTGAAACATTCAATATATTTTTTTATCTTAATATATGACTGCATGGTACAATGTAAACAAAGTAAACTGAATACTACAAATAATGTATAATGATAATGTCTAATGTCAAATTCTTTTTCTTACTTGTTCGTGCTTTAGACAGCCTTTGTACATTTTTAGAGACATCAACAAAATGACCTTCAAGCATATTTGAGATTGTCTTAGCTTCAGCCAAATTCATATCATCATCTTTCACTTGTGAAGAGAATCTGAATCTAAAACCACTAGACCTCTTTCTTGGTTTTGTGGCGGGAATAAACTAGATATATAATATAAACAATTAATTATATAATTATATAATAGAATTTTAAATTATCTATTCGGACAAAAATGTAAATCAACTCACAACGAAATCAGTCTCGATAAAAGACCTGAGTTCTTCATCGTGGCACAATATAGGGTTCATTGACACGCGATCTACCCATTGTTGCATTGCCTTCTTCACCTGACGCTGAGGTCCGACGTTCTTAATTTGTAATTTTTTTAGTGTCAGGTTCTAACAATTTTTTTTTTGATTGTTTCAATAACAGCATCTATATATATTTTTGAGGGTACAATTAAGGTTGTGTTGCACCCTAAAGCGCTGAATTTCTAATTCAATATTTTATATTTTAAATTCTACTGTAAAATTTTTTTCTTTTTTTAATGTACTGGAAAACAATTTATAATTTGAAATCGTAAAAACAGTAGTAAGTTTTTAATGGCACTTCCAGAACCTTTAATAAGCGGAAACGACTTTTGGAATCAAACGCGTCAAGTTTCTACAGACAAAGTATCTCGTATTAGGAAAAAAAATGATCCTTTACCTCAACCTCCTCAAGATGAAGGTTATTACTTACGAATAGCTATTATAACTCTAGACAAACACCGTCGTGATCCAGTTTTCAAATTCAAAGCCATTGTATATAAAAACAATAATAATAGTACATATTTAAATTCTTTCAACGCTTCATCAACTTTATCAGACTTTATTGATGTAGAA